CCCCAACCCTCCTATAACCCCCCTCCCCCCCCCCCCAGCCAAAAAAAAAAAAAAAACCCGATCCCGCTCTCCGTGAACTCCATGAACTCCCATGTCATAAACTCCGTGAACTCCATGACCGGTTTCCGTCCACAGACCCTGTGAACGGTGAACGGGGGTACGACACTGAGCAGTGGCAAGGATTGTGTTGAGATGGAGCAGGCCTTTGTAAGTTCGTGGTGGTCATTTTGTCTGGAGGTCGTGGCCGTGGAGCATTTGATAAGATTTTCATCTTGGAACAAAAAAAGCTGGGAAATTGAGTTGAGCGACCCCTATGCAATTTCGATTCGAACCGCCCAGCAAACATGATTTCCCACCAAAATGCCACCCATCCCATCCCAGCAAAACCCTGCCCACCCCAAAACAACCCCCCCCAAAAAATGGTTCACCTCAAAAACGAAGGCCAGACAACCTAAAAAAGGAAAGGCTGGGCGACACCCGCGGCCACCAAAGAACGACCTATTGCCACCTACTGTTGGTCGCCTGCGCTCCAACCTCTGCGCCGACCGTTTGGCCTACCAGTCTGTGCCCTGCCCCCTACCACGCACCTTGTCGACGCCCCATAAACCCCATTATATGGTCATCGGCATTCCTCAAAAAGAAAGCCCGCTACACGACAAAGTGCAATGGGTAAGATGCAGCCTTTGGCTGCGAACAACCCCAATCTTCTTCTTCTTAATTTTTTTTATTTTGTTTGACAGCCCCAATCTGGTTTGTCCTTCCGCTCGCCCCCCCCCCCCCCCCCCCACAAAAAAAAAAAAAGAATCAATCTGGGCTGTCAGCCGAGACGACAGACATTCTCCAAAAAGCAGAGCTTGTGAAGGCTCCCAGGGAACTCCCTTGAAAAAGAATACCTTGCAGGCAGGTGCTCCAGAAGCTTCGAGGGCTCGTTTCGTTTCAAGGAGCGTTCTGACACCTCTTGGAAACAAAACAGAGGGGCAAGTACGTCGGAGTCGCACCCAACGTTCAGAAGTTCAGAATATGCAACCTTTTTTTTTTTTCTTTTTTTTTTTGCCTGATGTTGACTCCATCTATTTGTGGGGAGCTTCACGTGCTGGAAACTGGGTCCAACGTCCCTTGTACAATGTTCAGATTGTTCAAAGTTGTATGAAAGAGGGCATTACGTACAAGTCTGAATGTGGAGGCCAGGCCTTTGGTGATTGCCCGAGGTATGTAGAACTACGTAATATTAGCTAAATCCAATCTGCCAAATGTGTTCTGTCTTCACTGGTCTAATTAGACTCTTATCTCGCCTTTAATACTAGTCAGAAGGAGGATGGATGGAAGTGATATATACAGTTTTGAGTGCGTTTGGTATGTTGCAACATTTAACGAGGCCTCGGGCCCAGAAGCCATGAGGATAAAATGATCCCCGGACCCCTTTCTTGTTTCTTGATGCCAATCTCACGTCCTTCCCCCAGCTGCCGAACAACTTCCTGTACTTTGAGTCTATGTGACACCCCCGGCCTAAGCCGTGGGCAATTCGGCCATTGCGGCCGAAAAAGTAGGCCGCAGCCGAGGCCACCAGGCCTAGTTTGCGGTCCGATTTTCTGTTTTTTTTTTTTGGGGCTAAAACAGTAAGTGAAAAACAAAATAAAAAATATGGGGTTGTAGGGTTTTGAAAGCCCTACAGACCCATTTTTGATTTTTGAACTTGACTTCATTTACGATTTGTAAAAAGTGAAAAACGAAAGTAGGTTCAAAAAAAGAAATAAAAAGAAATAAAAGAAAAGCAGGATTTTTTTTTTTTTTTTTCATGACTGAGTCCTCCTAAAAATTTTGCCAAGGTAATTGCTTTTTTTTCCCCTTGAAGTTCTTCTTCTTCTTCTGTGTTGTTTGATTGATTGATTGATTGTGAAAAAAAAAAAAAATTGAACACGCTAGTTTGTGTGTGTGTGTGTGTGTGTGTGTGTGTCTGTGTGTTAGGTGAGATGAGTCTACTGCACCTTGCGATGCAGCGAGCCACGTTTATATAAGACACAACATAAATGCCAATAACACGGACATCTCAGCATCGAACGAATCACACCATGATCCAAGCGAATATTCCATTCTACTGGGTATGCACGACCTTACTGACTTCCCTAAAAGGACACAACGACTAGAGCTCGAGGGCACTGAGCCTTAAGCTGAAACAAACAATACGCAGCACCTCGGGGAAGACAGAAAAAAGACAGCGAGGAAAACAGGCATACGGCATCAACAAAGGGCGAAGGCTGGAGGGCAAGGGGGAGGCGGGTCTGCGGATAGACAACATGCCGCACAGCAAACAACACAAGGAAGCAAAGCATATAGGCTGGAGGGCATGGGGGTGGCGGGTGGGCAGGCAAATGACACCCAACAACAAAGCACACTAGGTGAAAAGCATGGGGTAGATGGATGGGCAAGCAAACAGCGCAAGGCAGCGAGGGAAACAATAGCAACACAAACAACGACAACGCAAAAACAACCCCCGAAAAAAATACAAGTACAAACAAGACAAAGACTGATCAAATAATAATAATAAATAATAAAAATTATAAATAGATGATGAAAGATTGTTTCGTCGGAGTTGCACCGACTCATCAGGAGGCTGAACCCTGGACAATCTGCGGAATCCCCGTATTTGATGGTTTGGATCATGAACCCTTTGACCATTTTTGAAGACAGACTGTCCCCAAGAGGAACATCGCAACGGGCAGCAACCCTGTGAAGCACCAGGCAACACAACTGCATAACGCCAAAAATGACTGCAAGGAACGACATGGCATGCAATGCGACAGCCATGTAGTGAAGCACAAGGCAACACAAGCAAGGCAACAACACTGCAGGGGACAACAGGGCGAGTGAACCAGCAGTTGGGCAACCATGGAGCGGAGCACAAGGCACCAGCAACAAGGCAACCAACCTACAGGGCACACAAGCGACAAACACGGAAGGCACGACCAACGGATGAGCAACACGAAAGTGGAGCAGCGAATAGCAAGGCAACACGAACAACACAGCCACACCACACAGCGAACACATCAACCTGCAAAGAACCACACGTGAAGCAAGCGGGACAGGCAGCAAGGCAGCGGTGGAGCGCAGACAAGGACGTCCACATATCCAACACGGAGCAAAGCAGCACATGACCTACTCACATCACGATTGAACCCCGCAGACTGTTGGTTCCCACCACCCACTGAGCTAGGGAGTCACCCAGACGAACATCCGTCATCCACGACAGGCAACACAGACATCCCGAACTTAGCATCCCCCATAAGAGTGCCGTAGGTACTCGAAACGAGGAACTACAGACTGTTTGACACTACTTAAGGATGCTCAATTGGGCACACAAAAAAGTTAGAAAAAATCAGGGGAAGAACAAAACAGAAAAAAGACTGACAAACATAAAACTGATTGTGTGTGTGTGTGTGTGTGTGTGTGTATGTGTGTGTGTGTGTGTGTGTGTGTGTGTGTGTGTGTGTGTGTGTGT